AGTATTATGGTATTTTTTCATTCTCTTGTGTCTCCAATTGTACACAGAATTTAAATCATTATGAGATATTTTTCAGATTGATAGCGAAATAAACAAACTTACCACAACATTTACCAGAATCGAAGGACCAACCTTAACAACCTTCAACAAAAAAGATCCCACCCCAGACTTGTTCTTGTATCTCAGCAAGTATGCTTCTTGGTTACTGTTCCAGTTGGGTGGTAACAGTTCTGATGCACTTCCTTCATCACTTGGCCACTAGGGATTCAGAAAACATTCCGTATGGCAACTTTAACGGCATGTTAAAATTTCTTTATTTACAAAATACAAAAATTAGATCTACTGTACATTTGTAACTCGATCACATATTTAGAACAACCTGCATTTGATCTTATATCGTAACATTATCTATCATGGATATAACAAAGTAATAATAAATATCACTGACTAGAAAACATGTGCAGCCAACCACAAATCCTTTTAATTTTTACTTTAAAAGTCATTTACGAACCATTAATCTGTCACACGACACATGGATGCTACTATTTCAAGCTAATCATGAAAATGTACATCTTATCCTAGAATAATCATGACAATTATTACTTCAATTTAGATGCCTAAGAAGACTAGAAATCATTATTAAATACAACCACAAACTCCAGATTGAATTGATACAACTGTAAATACCAAACTCTTGATGGAACGTGTGGTATATTTTTATCTTAGGGTCATCATGGACATGAATATCTTTATTCAAGGATATTATCATGACGATGGATATCATTATTCTACAGTCAAACTATGGCAGGAGGTATGTTTGTTAAAAATGTAATTAAATTTCAAGAAGTAGACAAATTACATTCTCTATCAAGAAACATTCTTATAATAAAGTAAACTTCTGGCAGATGACAATTTTCTTTCATGGTTTATGTCTAGCAGGATCTGTCTTTCACGGTTTATGTCTAGCAGGATCTGTCTTTCTGGTTTATGTCTAGCAGGATCTGTCTTTCATGGTTTATGTCTAGCAGGAGCTGTCTTTCACGGTTTATGTCTAGCAGGATCTGTCTTTCATGGTTTATGTCTAGCAGGATCTGTCTTTCTTGGTTTATGTCTAGCAGAATCTGTCTTTCTTGGTTTATGTCTAGCAGGATCTGTCTTTCTTGGTTTATGTCTAGCAGGATCTGTCTTTCTTGGTTTATGTCTAGCAGGATCTGTCTTTCATGGTTTATGTCTAGCAGGATCTGTCTTTCATGGTTTATGTCTAGCAGGATCTGTCTTTCATGGTTTATGTCTAGCAGGATCTGTCTTTCTTGGTTTATGTCTAGCAGGATCTGTCTTTCATGGTTTATGTCTAGCAGGATCTGTCTTTCATGGTTTATGTCTAGCAGGATCTGTCTTTCTTGGTTTATGTCTAGCAGGATCTGTCTTTCATGGTTTATGTCTAGCAGGATCTGTCTTTCTTGGTTTATGTCTAGCAGGATCTGTTATTATGCCAGTGTAAGAAAAAGATTTGACATTGATTCATCAAGAGTTTGTAATACCAGTAAGTTATCATGAAATAGGACACTTTACACTTGTTTTTGTTAAATAGAGATGTGTTTCATAATTTTTTCTTCTAAAGGTCTTTTTCAGTTATAATTAAAACACAGCCTGATATACATTCATTACACATTGTATATAAACTTTGTTTATGTCTTGCTTATGACACTAAACTATTCTTCTGAAACTATGTTTACTAAAGGGTAAATTAAAATACTAACAATTTTCCTTTAAAAAGTAAAATGTTAAAAAATGCTACTGTTATCTGTCAACCTATCCAATGATCCTCTATGAAAAAAAAGGTGTTAATACTCAGTTATGGAAGTCATGGCTGGAGTTCTCTAAGAATGATCCTCTATGAAAAAAGACGTGTTAACACTTTAGAGAACTCCAGCCATGACTTCCATAACTGTCATAGAGGATCATTCTTAGAGAACTCCAACCATGATTTCCATAACTGAGTGTTAACACGTCTTTTTTCATAGAGGATCATTCTTAGAGAACTCCAGCCATGACTTCCATAACTGAGTGTTAAAGCATCTTTTTTCATAGTGGATCATTCTTAGAGAACTCCAGCCATGACTTCCATAACTGAGTGTTAACATGTCTTTTTTGGTTTTAGGTATTCACGTACAGCTAAAGTGTGGTGGCCATCCCTATATTTGTATGGAGGGGAAAGTAGCTAATTAACAGCCCAAATACCAACTCTTGAATTACTTTATTTGATTAGTTGGATCTGACAAATAGTTAACTCTTTCAGCATGAGCTCGGTCCCTGGGACCGACCTCATAACCATTTTGTGCTTGTTATAGTTTTCATGCTATAACTTTTAAATCAGTATGCAAATGTTAATGAAATTTGGTAGATTAGCAGTAAACATTACAATGCTTTCATACGTAAAATATCAAATTTTTTTATTATGTCTTAAGGTTTATAAAGCAATATTTTTCTATCATGCAATATCTATCATGGAAAGTAATATTCATTTTAAGATTAAAAATATTTTTATGCATCAGAAAATTTTGAAATTTCACATGTGAAATCTTTATAATGTCCAGATAGTTATCAAACATTTCTTAAGAAAATACTTTATATTTTATCTGTTATCTTCAGTAATGAATCTCTGTATGGGTTTGGTACATTTGACCGAGCTCGCAACCACCATGAAAAATTAGGAAATAAATATAAATTATGCCTGTTTCATTCTAGAATGAA